ACACTTGGAGCTGTGTGTAATTTCTTCGGTTGGCGTTCAGTTAAGAGATGAGGTTGAAAAGGTGAATACAGACCAGAAGACCAGGTCATGAAGATCCTGTGGTCCATGTTAAGCAGTCTGTACTTTGTTTTCTAGTTGTGGTGGTTCTCTAAAGTAGTTGAATAGCTCTTGAGGAGCTCCTGAAGAGTTTATTTTAAAGAGGACGGCATGGCTGTATTTGCATTTGGAAACCTGGTTCTGGTGATGCCGTGTGAAGTGGGTTGAAGAAGCCCTGCCAGTCTGGTGCTCACGTGGTCAGTGAGAGGGGACCAGGGCCTGGATAAGGTGGAGGGGGCCCAGTAGGCAGAGGTTGTGCGGTGGATTTAGGATAGGATGGGAACCCTAGAGTGCTGGGTTGAGTCGAGGTTAAACGAAAGGACAGAACCACATAGTTCCTAGTGTTCTTTTTTGAGTAGATGATGATGGTAAATGTGGGAAGGGGAGCTTTTTTGGATGGTCTTCCCGATCGTGGTTACACGAATTGGGGGCTTGTGCGAAGTCTAGACTGTCGTGTGTATGGCTGTGGAGATCAGGAGGGCTTCCAGGCAGGTTTGCCGGTTATCAGCGCACAGATGCCAGCTGAAACTGCATGGGTAAGAGCTGAAGCTGTAACATAGATAATGTTCATTTAACAGTAAATGTCACTATGTGTACCATTAGACACTGGAGATACAACCGGGACCAAAGCAGACTTTTTTTAAAAAATTCTTATTCTCAGGAGCTAACAGTTTAGCAGTGGGGATGGGTTAAAGTAAATACTGTATCATGTGGTAACATTATGGGGAAAAAGCAGGGGTTGGGGTCAGAGAACTCTGAGGGGTGGGATGGATTTGTGCAGTTTTGAATTGTTGGGTTAGGGACTGTCCACCGTGTAGCAGAAGGCTGAACAAGGTGAGGGAGTGAACAGCCGAGTATTGGAATCTCATTGCAGGTGAGGGAGTGAACAGCTGAGCATTGGAATCGCAGTGCAGGCTGGGGGCAGGGGCTTGTGCTTGGTACAGTCCAGGAGATACACAAAGGCCACGCGCTCGCTGACACTTGGTATTTTCTGGGGGTTTATTTATTTATTTATTTTCTAGTAGCTGTCCTAATGGGTGTGAATGGGTGTGATTTACAACTGCATTTTCTTGATAACTGGGGATGTGGAACATCTTTTTATGTGCATATTGCCCATCTGTATATATATCTTCTTTAGAGAATGAAAACAGATTATAAGTCATTATATTGTAAGATCTTATCCTGATTCAGTTGTTTGGCAAAACATAATCTGAACTGATTTGGGACTATATATATATACACGCACACACATATACATATATATATATTCTTCGTTGTGTTAGTTGCTCAGTCGTGTCTTGACTCTTTGTGACCCCATGGTCTGTCCATGAAATTCTCCAGGCAACAATATGGAAGTGGGTTGCCATTCCCTTCTCCAGGGGATCTTCCTGGCCCAGGGATCAAACTTGGGTCTCCTGCATCGCAGACAGATTCTTTACCATCTGAACTACCAGGGAAGCCCAATATATTCTTTAGTTATCCTATTTAATATGAATGTTCATATGCTTTGCTGAAGAAATATTAGGGTATCTGATTATGGAGTGTTATCCCAAACCCTACTGAGGCTGTTGATTTAAAATACATATATGTACTGTAATACTTTTCTAATGAGAAAAGTTCACCATTCCAAAGCACATTCTACTCCCAAGTGTTTTGGATAAGAGGCTGTGGATGTGTACTTTGGAAAGCTAAAGTTCTAGTTGGAATTCAGAAATGAATTAGCTGAGGGCTCCCCATCCGTTCCGTCTCACCTTGTACCTGGTTGGTTGGTTCCTGTTTGGGCTTCACTCTTGCTGTTCTATGCTGTCCTTCTCTGCCTCTTGGTTTCTCTGAGCCTGGTTTCCCACCCCCACGCCCCTCCCCGTCTGTGAAGTGGGCATGTGTTTCCTGCTTTGAGGCCTGGATTGTGGGGAATGAAGGGGATGCCAGTGCGAGATGCGGGGTCTGCACCGGAGGGTGCCACACATGCTGAGGCTCTTTCTTCCCAGCTCATGCTCTCTCCACTTCGTAGCATGTGACCTCGTTCTTACACGCCTCTTTCATCAGGTAACTTCTAATCTTCAAGGAACAGGATTGTTTTTATTTAAGTTTTCATGGGAGATGTTCCAGTGTTGGAAAGACATGTCTTCTCCCACCATTGCACATTCTCGTGCTGATACTGAGGGGACGCCTACCTTCCACTCCCACCTGAAAATGTCATTGCCACAGGGAATGGAAAAGTAACGTCTAACCGGGGAGGGGGCAGGGCTGTATCTGCGTCCACTGTAATTTTCATTTTGTACCAGATCTAGACTGGGGGTCTCTGTATACAAGAGTGGTCTCTCTCTATTGGATGGAAGTGGAGTTTTTTGTAGAAAAGTAACAATCTTTTCTCCAGAAGTACTGGTAATAAAAGTTTCATTATTTAGAATAGGCATATTTAAAGTTACCTTTTGATTTAACCCGATTACTAGTGCATTCAGTGCCCCCTCCCTTATTTTCTTAAATTAGAAAGTCCATTCTGGCCCAGAATATATGTTTTGCTTTAACCGTTTTGACATATTCAAATGAGAAGGAAGGCACAGAGTGGCACACCTGAGTTAAAAGCTTTAAAAAAAAATCATGTGCTCTTGATTTGTTAAATACCCGCTGCTTTGGAAAGTTGCATATTTAATGACATTTTGGCTGAAATTTAAACATGAAATCAAAGATAAGCTTGCAATTCAGACTTGGCGGTTTGATCTTGGCAAGGACTGGGTTAACGGGTGGTTGGAGGCACCTGTTCCTTCCTGACTGCACAGCCTTTGTTACTTCTGCTCACTGGCTCAGAGGCTTCTTTCACAAGGGAGCTGGAGGGTGGCCGGCGCGTTTCCTGGTGCGGAGGGCGGGGGCCCTGGAGGCAGGGAGGCCTGCCGTGCCTTAGTGGCGGCCATGTGCAAACAGCTCTACTGGAGCTGGGTGTCCACCTTCACGTCCGGCATCCGCCTGGAGGAGCGCCAGGCCGCGGACGGGAAGGCTCTCCAGCAGCAGGTGATGTCGCAGCAGGTGCGTGGTCTCGCCCCATGTGCATCCTGTGTGATCTTGGCTCAGCAGGCTAGATTTGGTTTCTGACTGGTTACTCTGATATTTTCCGTATTACTGTCCTTGTTATTTGGATCTGTGAAGATAGGCTAAAAGATGCTACTTTATGAGTTACAGTACGTGATTCTGGAATGTAATTTAAAGAACAGTGTTTAAAACCTTTTGCAGAGCTCTGTTTGGCTTTTGAGAAATGAAAAAGAAATCTTACTCTAACCCTGTCTTGTGTTTTTCTTTTTGATTTTTGCTCTTTAAAGAGCCTCAGTGCTCCTTGGTGTCATAACACAGTTTATCCAACTCTTAGATGTTTGTCTTTTGTTTTGAGGTGTGTTAAGGACGAGGTGAAGTTTCACCTGGCTATGTTCCAACATGAAACCTGAGATAAGTCCCTTGGCCTTTTATAAAAGGGAATGGTTAGTAAGGCCAGAGAGAGTTCTCAAATGAGTTATGGTGACGAGGCTTTTTCCTTAAATAAATTTATATAAAGAATATAAATTTGATACTATATCTTTTTAGATTTGTTAGAAGTGGTGGGGAGGAGGGTGTGTGTGTGTCATGAGCTCCAGCAAGGGACTTTTAGTAATCTCTCAGTGCTTTTTAAAGCATAAAGGTGAAGAATAATTTTGGTTGTTCCTTTTAAGAGTTATTAATACTTGTGTTTGATTAGGCTGAATTCTAGCTCCTTTTTTAAAAGCATTAATTCCTGTTTATAGAATATCCACGATAATTATACATGGTTATATGTTATATGTTATATATACAACACACATGGGGACATACCTTCTTTTATTGCTCTTTGCTTTATTGTGATTCACAGATAATGTTTTTTACAAATTGGAATTTGTGGCAACTCCAAGTTGAGCAGGTATATCGGCACCATTTTTCTAAGAACATTTATTTGTTAATTTCATGTCTCTGTATCACATTTTGGTAATTTTTGCAATGTTTTAAACTTTTTCATTATTATTGTATTTGTTCTGGTGATCTCTTATGGGACTTACTGAAGACTCAAATAATGGTTGGCATTTTTCGGCAATAAAATATTTTTTAAGTAAGCATGTTTTTTTTAAGACATAATGCCATTGCAAACTTAATAGAGTGTAAACATAATTTGTATATGTACTAGGAGACCAGAAATTTGTGTGACGTGCTTTATTGTGATTCTTACTTTGTTCTGTGGTCTGGAGCCGAATCCGCAGTATGTCTGAGGTGTGCCTGTGTGCCTATAGGACTCTTGTTACATTGGGCGCAGGGCAAATCGAATTCCCCGTGAAAAGCTACTAGGAAGGAGATTTTAGGAGAAGTGTAAAACACACTGAAGACTTACTTACTTGTTTTGGTATACTCTTTTCACATTGTTCTCAGCACCTGCTTCTGCGGACTGGAGGACGATTCCTTCCTCTGCGTGCTCCCGTGTTGAGTAGGTCGTTGGCTGTTCATGACATTAGGGTGCTGTGTGTCTGATCTCAGCCTGTGGGCAGCAGGCCCGCCTCCCCACCCCTGACTCCGAATCCCCACTGCTGGCGGTGTCTCTTTAACTACTGAGTCATTAAGGAAGGAGTGGAGTTGAGGATATTCACAGTATTATTAAATAGGGAAGCTGCAGTGTCACCAACTGCATTTGGTTCTAGGAGATATATTAGCATATTTATTTTTCATTTGGATGCTCCTTTTAAAGAATAAGTTTATTTCAAAACTCGTTAGCTTGTTCCTGACTTTTCCAATTCCTTGTGGAATCCTGAGAACATGACACTTCAATTCAGATGGTTTTTTGTTTTGTTTGTTACCTATCTTAGTGTTTTTAATGTAGCTAACTTATATAATCAATGTGTTTTCTCGCTGCACAGAAAGTTGGAGTGACTGGACCTCCTGATCCACAAGTCCGCTGTCCCTCTGTTATCGAGTTTGGGAAGTATGAAATTCATACTTGGTACTCCTCTCCATATCCTCAAGAATACTCAAGGTACGTTTTGAGAGGCCATTTACCTTTGCTCTTAGATTCCTAGACCTCCAGCACTAGAAGGGGTCTTGGAGACATTGTTGTAGTCCAGTTCCTATCTTTACATTGAAGAAAACCGGTAGGTTTTAAGTGTCCGTGACAGCAGCATACTTCGACAGCCTCTTAGTCTCAGTTGGCTTTGTAATAGATTTTCTTTTCTGTAACCTATCCAGAAACTATTATTTAAGATCGGAAACCTGACACATGGTCAGAATGAAAGGGGAACATTTTTTCTTTATGAGAAATTGACCTTCATATCTCACAGCAAAAGCTTTTTTTAAAGAGAAATTCTTATATTTAACTAATAAATAAAGTTTCACTGAGTAGCCTTTTATTTAAATCTTTATAATTTAACAAACTTAGTAAATTATTTGTTTTCCCAGGAATAATTAGCCAAATGGTATAAAATTATATATAAATGACTTGGGTTTCTAGATATAAAAATGGATCACTCACCAGCTTTTTGGGATAAGGCAGTGAGCTTAGGGAAGCCAGATTCGTTTCCTGACTCAACTCTGACGTTTATAAGCTACGTAACCTTAGAAATTACCCAGCTACTTGGTGCTTCAGTTTCCTCATCTCTAAAACAGGGATAATAATAGTTCTGACCTCAGGAGGTTTATTGTGAACATTAAGTGAGTAGAATTATGTAAACCACTTAAAAATTGTGAGTGCTCAATAATGTCAGTTTTTTTTTTCTTTTAGGGTTGAAATGAAAAAGAGTTGAAAAATAAGATTTAGTCAAAAAATTAAACACTGGCTTAGCATTTGAAGTACAGCAGTCATTAATTCTTTAATCTGGTTTACAAATCTAAGCGAATTAGGAAAGTAGGAGTGAGACTCAGACCTCAGTGACACAGAGAGAGAGGGAGAAAGCAAAACCCCAGGAAACTAACATACAAGCTTATGAAACACAGCAGCTGAGAGCCATTTATTGTAGGATCAGTTACCTCCAAACTCTGTGTTAGACCTTTAAGAAAATATTCTGTTTATTTCATGGAAGAATAAATCTGAGTTGGTTACAAACATTAAATTATATATTATGTATATATGTTAAAAGAGAGAAGGAAATTCCTCAACTACCTACAGAACACAGGTAGTCAATGCAATGTCTTCCTCATGAGTTATGGATAGCCAGGATATTGTATAATCAAGAACAGCAAAGTTGAAGAATTAATTTCATCATTAGGTTTAAAATGAATTATTTCCATGTTTAAGTGAGCTCTTTACCAGCTGTGCAGATCACAAAAGTGCTCCGCCTGGAACAGAAAGCTTGTTCAGCGTCTGTGTCACCTGTTCTGGCGGTTGTCATGTAGAGAGTGGAACCACGGGCACCTCCTCTCTTCTCCTCAAGGGCAGGAGGAGGAGAGGAGCTCATTTAGTCAGGAGTGGAGACAGAAGATGAGAATGAAGCTGTCAATTTTAAGATATTTAAGTCTGATTAAAAATGTTGCATTTTGCTCTGATGAATTTGTCCCTAGAATTTGACTTCTTAATCAAGTTTGAGGGAGTTAGTTACCAGTGAAAGAATGAACAAACATTGCCAGCAGAAAAATAAATAGCCTAAGAAGTATAATAGGAATTGTAATAGAAAGCGGCAGTAGAAGAAAAACTATAAAACTCATCTGAGTAGAATTTTAGACACTTTCTGTACTTTTCTTTAGTCACCATTGTGAAGGATTCCCTGAAAATAGCAGATAATATTGTGTAATTTATAAGTTTTTTAGTAATTATTTTTTCTATCTTTATATTCATAATTTTCTTAATTACATTTTCAGAAAACCACATTTTATTGAGTTTAGACTTGTTTCACTTCTGAGTTCTTTAAACTTGAGTTGACTATAATGTTTAGAGATCACATGTTTTCTAAATAATAAACCTATATTTTTACTTTGTTGATGACTATTATTCTCTGCTAAATTACTTCTGAATTATTTTCTTATTAATAAAAGTTCTAAATACTTTAAAAAATTTCCAAATCCTAAAGCATGCAAAGTAGGACAGTTGGAGCAAAAACAAAGAAGAAAAGATCGTAAGAGGAAAAATTATTTGGGAAGTAGGATTACATACTATCTCCTTTAATATTCAGATATTTGTGTGTGTGGTATATGTTAAGCAGTCTTGCATCCATGATTTTTAAAAAACAAAATAAAATGAAACAACAGCAATGAGCAGCTTCATTTGGAGCAGTATGATTAAGCCTCAGACGTTGAAGAATATAAACCAGAGGTTTTAACCTGAGATTTCCCCTGCAGGGTGCTGTGATGCACACACATGGCAGATGGGTCCTTAGAGGGCCCTACTCTGCCTTTAAAAACATGACATAAATAGGCCAAAGGCAAGATGGAATGTTCTCTACTCCTGAGCTGTTTAGAGCCTTAGCTTCTTAATAACCTCTTTGCTACAAGTTCATATTAAGATAAGATCCTAAAAAGGCAGATTCTCACATATTTGAATAGTTTGGGAACCTTACTCTACCTTTTGACCCTGTTCCTGACTTGACTTGATGCTTAGATTATGTACAACCCCAGTTACTAAGGAACAGCATCCTCAAAGTCTTTGAATGACCGTTAAATGATGAAATAAAATGAATGAAAGGAGAATAAAAATATTCATAGTATTAATCATAAATAATAGCCATAGTTACCATTCACTGAGCTTACTCAGTGACTAAACATCTCTGGAATAATTTTGTGAGGTGGATATTGCTATCTTTGTTTTTACAGGCCAGGGCCCAGCAAATATATTCAAGACTGTACAGTTTATAAGTGGTAGAACCAGGATTTAATCCCACTTTTCTCTTAACATATAGCTAAAACTTTTAACCACTGTACATGACTACTCCATATAGCATTGATATCTAGATTGATCTCAGGCGGCTTGTACCATAATCTTTGACTTAAGGTGTATTTGGTGTAATTTCTAGTGTGTTAAAATTTTACTATTGACCTATTACAAAAGCCACACAAACTGCTGCTATCTTGGGCAATGTCCAAAAGCCACAATAGGATGAGTATCTGCATTATCCTAGAAGTAAGGGAACCAATACAACTGCAGCCCAATCCTGACTTCACAGATTGTGGTATCCATATTATGGGTGACTTTAAAATAAATGTCAAGTGTGGGGGCTATACCCCCATGATGCAGCTAGTCAGAGTGACCATACCCCTCCTCGACAGTCAGGGCCGAGGTTCTCTCAGAGAGAAGATGGCAGGAGCAGCACTCAGCAGTGTTTAGGTCAGGGAGTGTTCCTGAGTTCAATAACTGCACTTCATTTCCTGTGATCTGATGTTTTTCCTATTTGATATATTTTTTCAATGAGAGAACTGCAGCCATTTGTACTACTGCTAGAAGAAATATTTGCGCTTTTCTAGAGTTTTATGGAATGATTCCCATTAGACTAACAGTGTCATCCCAGTAGGCTTAGTTTTAATAAAGTCAGAGGCTTTTAAAATACAAAGGATCATAAGAGACTATGACAAACAGCTGTATGTCAATCAAATGGACAATCCAGAGGAAATGGAAAAGTTCCTAGAAATGAACAATCTTCCAAGGCTGAAGCAGGAAGAAATAGAAGATGTGAAAAGACCAATTACCAGTAATGAAATGGAATCAGTAATAGAACAACTATCAATAAACAAAAGCTCCAAGACCAGATGGCTTTATAGGTGAATTCTATCAAACATTTAGTGAAAGGGTAGTACCTGTCTTTCTCAAACTATTCCAAAAAACAGCAGAGGAAATAGTGCTCCCAAACTCATTCTATGAGGCAAGCATCACCTTGATACCAAAACAAAATAAAGATACCACAAGAAAAGAAAATTATAGGCCAATATCACTGATAAACATAGATACAGAAATCCTTAACAAAATACTAGCAAACCAAATGCAACAATGTATTAAAATGATCATAAGCAATGATTATAAATAGTAATAAAGTGAGATTTATCACAGGAATTCAAAGATTCTTCAATATCTGCAAATCAATCAGTGTGGTACAACACCTTGAAGAACAGAATTAACAAGTTGAAGGATAAAAATAGTGTGACCTCAGTAGATGCACAAAAAGCTTTTAACAAGATTCAGCATTCATTTATGATAAAAACTCTGCAGAAAGTGAGCATAGAGAGAACACCCATAATAAAGGCATGTATGATAGGCCAAAGCTAATTGCATACTCAGTTGTGGAAAGCTGAAAGCATTTCCTCTCAGATCAGGAACTAGACAAGGAACAAGACCACTTTTATTCAACATAGTGTTGGAAGTCCTAGCTATCACAGTCAGACAAGAAAAAGAGATACAGAATCCAGATTGGAAAGGAAAAAGTAAAATTGTCACTGTTTGCAGATAACGTGATACTATACATAGAAAGATCCTAAACAAGCCACAAAAAACGTTTGGAGCTCACTGATTTGGTAAAGTTGGCAAGGTACAAAATTAATATGCAGAAATCTGTTGGATTTCTATACACTGACAGTGAACTATCAGAAAGAGAAATTAAGGAAGTAGTCTCATTTACCATTGCATCAAAAAGAATAGAATACCTGGTAATAAACCTGCCTAAGGAGGTAAAAGATCTGTACTCAGAAAACTGTAAGACATTGATGAAAGAAATTGAAGATGACATAGACAAATTGAAAGATATGTTTATAGATTGGAAAAGTTATTGTTAAAAATGACGATACCATGCAAAGCAGTCTACTCATTCAGTGAATTTCCTATCAAATTACTCAGGGCATTTTTCATAGAACTGAAACAAAAATTTTAAAATTTGTAAGAAACACAAAAGACCCCAAATGACCAAAGCAATCCTGAGAAAGTAAAACAGAGCTGGAGGGTTGACTTAGACTATCTTACAAAGCTACAGTAATCAAAACAGTATGGTCCTGGCACAAACGCACACACGGAGATCAATGAAACAGAATAGAGAGCCCAGAAATAAACCCAGCACTTATGGTCAGTCTGTGATGGACAAAGCAAGAATGTACAGTGGGGAAAAGTCAGATTCTTCAGTAAATGGTATTGGGACAATTGGACAGTTACATGTAACAATGAAACTCGACAGTTTTCTTAAATCATGTCAAAAATAGATGGTTTAAAGTCCTAAAGATAAGACCTGAGACCATAAAATTCCTAAAAGAAAATACAGCTGGAACACTCTTTGATATAAATTGGAGCAGGTTTTTTTTTTAAAATCTGTTTCCTAAAGCAAAGGAAATTAAAGCAAAAGTGAACAAATGGAGCCTAATTAAACTTACAAACTTTTGTCCTGCAAAGGAAACCATTGACAAAATGAAAAGACAACCTACTGAATGGGAGAAAATGCTTGCAAGTGATATGATCAATAAGGGATTAATATCCAAAATACATAAACAGAGGTTTTTTTTTTTTTTTTTCCTTCAGCCTCGGTACTTCTTTATATGAGAGAAGATACGGTATATTTGGATTATATTTCTTGTCATTGTATCATCCAGTATTTTCGTATATGCAGTTTTTGTTTTAGTATCAGATCTTAGCATGCTTACCAGTTTTGGACACAGTTCAAGATACAGGGGAACCTCTATGCTGAGGATGCATGGGGTGTGTGTTTATCATAGAGAGCTATGCAGTCTTCTCAGTCCAGGCTAAAATACTTACAGAAGCCACTGGTTTTTAGTTTAGGTTATGTTCCTTCTGTGGCTTTATGAACTGACCTAATCACTTTAGTAGGGCTTCCCAGGTGGCTCAGTGGTAAAGAATCCGCCTGCCCTGCAGGAGACGCAGGTTAGGTTGCTGAGTTGGGAAGATCCCCTGGAGGAGGAAATGGCAACCCACTCCAGTATTCTTCCCAGGATAACCCCGTGGGCAGAAGAGCCTGGCGGCCTATGGCCATGAGGTCGCAAAGAGTCAGACCTGACCGAGCACACATGCATGCACAGTCACTTTGTTGCCTAGCTGCTGATCACAGAGACGTTGTAAGGGAGAGGCCTGTTAATCCACTACCAAAATAGCAAGTGTATTGGATAAATATAAATTATTATTTAAATATAACAAAATATATGAAGAAATAACTAGAAATTTTTTTTCAGTCATTGAAAATAGACCTTTGAGTTACAGGATTTAATGTCATATTTAACTGGAGAGAAAGCCAGAATTTCAGAGTAGAAGGAAGGAGGTAGTGTAGCATGTCCTAACTTGAAAAAACATTTTCCATATTATAATTTTATACTTAAAAATATGCACAAAATCTGCTTTCACAACCCCCACTGTATGTCCATCATACTCAGCCTCTGTACCTAGTGTACCTAACACAGGGCATGATAGTGTTCAATGCATGTTCATTTTCTGAAATTAATGAGTGATGATCTAATAAAATAAAGGAAGAAAGAATATACAGCTTAACAAAATCTTCACTTATTGGTGTGTTCCAGAGGTAGACTTGGCTTTCTACTTATTGGAGATTATCAAGGAGGGTAGAAGGTGAGATTTTCAAGGCTGTCTGGTGGGTAACTTTAAAAGACGACAAGGATCAGTTTACTAGGAAGATCCTGGGATTGTGTGAATTGATTTCCCACCCCTGCCCTCTTGCTGTTGATTAGTTGGATCCTGTTATCCAAATAAGTTATATCTTTGATTTTTGTGTTTCCTTTTTAAAAAATGTGATTAATGGGGATAATGATACGTTCTTTACCTTTTTACCTGGGTAGTAATGAGAAAGAATAAGAGTGAAAGTTTAAAATCTTATAAAATATAAAGCCCTCTTGTTTGTGTAATTATTTTTTTTACAGGCTGCCTAAGTTATATCTCTGTGAATTCTGTCTAAAATATATGAAAAGTAGAACTATTCTGCAGCAGCACATGAAGAAGTGTGGATGGTTCCATCCTCCTGCTAATGAGATTTATAGAAAGAATAACATTTCTGTTTTTGAGGTAAAGTAGAAGATGTTTGGTAGTTGTCTTCCTATCCGTTTCAAATACAGTGCCCCCTGTGCTTTATCCGATTGCACAACTTGATTTGTTTTGGAAATGTTTTACTATTGTTCACTCACTATGGAGTCAGTAGTTCAGCTCTATAGGAGAGAAGCAGAATTAGGTCAGTCTAAGTGGTACCAGTTCACAAATTTGATCTCTGAATAAACTATTTTGTATTTCATTGAATCAAAGACATCAGTTGTAACATATTTTATGTTCCACTCAGAAGGTAAAAGTACTGCAAATTATGTGAGACATATATATATATGACTCAACTTGATTTTTTAATGCCAACAGATTTTACTTTTGTATAGATGTGATAAGACTGTGTCTTAGACTCTATGAAACATGGCACTTAAAAGATTTCTACTGCTCTATTTAAAGGAATATTGTGTAAAGGTATATATGTAATAGCTGTAGTAAATCCTAATAATATTTCCTGACTTCATCATGACTGTTTGACTTATGCTACATCTGTGATTCTGTGTTGTTAGTAGTGGTTTTTAATTTCTTGATCTCGGTTCTGTGGTTTGATTGCCCAACTCTTAATTGAGTACCTGCATGTGCTCAGTTCTGTTAATTCCAATGATGATAGACTTTCAGGTTGTCAGGATCTGCTCCATCTCTCACTTTCTTAATCTTACCAGAGCTTTTATTTTAGGTGAGGAATAGAGGAGCTCTTGACCTTTCAGGGAGGGAAAAGGTGTTTTGTACAATAAATTGCTTAAATTGCTAAAGAAGTTGCAGTCTTTTTTTGTTTTTTTGACCACACATTGTGGCTTCTGGGATCTTAGTTCCCCAACCAGGGGTTGAACCCCAGACTCTTAGCAGTGAAAGTACACAGTCCTAAGCACTGGACCGCCATGGAGTTTCCAGAAGCTGCAGTCTTAAAATGTCAGTGTCTTTGGGTCTGATGTAAGCAGTCATTGGCGTGTTCATGAAGAGCACACCCTGCAGGGGTGTTGGGAGCATAGAGCCTCCTGCTCCTGCTCCTGGCCAACCAGAATCCACGAAATACCTCACTTGCCAGGTTGCTGCCAAGGGAACCTGCTCCTTGCTTTTGACAATAGATAATAATCCCTCAAGGAGCTTTATTTAGGGGGAAACCTCATTTTGGCAGTCAGATTACATTGCTTCTGGCTGCTGGCACAAGTTAAACTGTTGTTTTACTTTGTTTTGCTTAACAGATGTATTTTAGAAGAGGTTACATTTAGATCTTTTGTTGAATTACATACTTTAAAAAATACATCAGATCAGCTTGCCATCTGAAGGATTCCTGTAGTCAGTCTTTTTATAAAAGCAAAATGCTATTTTGAAAATGGCCATCACTTCCTTGTCTAGCCTTTTTTTGTGCTTTGTTGAAGTGCAGTGTTTTGTGCATTTAGTTGTCTTAAAGTAGGAGACACTGTACTCTGCCATTTCAAGAGACAGCTTCCAGATCCATTGTGTTCTGAGAGTTGCCAGCTTTTCCTGGGCTGCACTGTGGGTACTCACAGGCGCTCTTTGCTGACACGTGTTATTCTAGAATTAAAGAGACACCGCGCTGACTGTTTTGTCTGTTTTTTCCTCTAGGTTGATGGGAATGTGAGTACCATTTATTGTCAGAACCTGTGTCTCTTGGCAAAGTTGTTTCTTGACCACAAAACACTCTATTATGACGTGGAGCCATTTCTTTTTTATGTTCTAACCCAGAATGATGTCAAGGGCTGCCACCTTGTTGGCTACTTTTCTAAAGTAAGTATACAGCTGAAATCTGTCTTGAATGCATGTGGCAATATGAAACAGTCTCGTTGTCATTAGGAGGCAGTACAGGACGCAGCCCCTGCTGGGGGCCATGTAGCTTTCTGGAGAGGGAAACGGGAGGACCCCTGAGACACTTGCCAGGTGCCAGCAGGCGCCTAGTAACGCTCAGCAGACTGTTCTCTGCTGGGAACGTGGAGCTGCTACTCGCACCCCAGAGGGAAAGCTTTGCCATGGCTTCTGCTCCCGTGGTGATGATAGGTAGGACTTGTGACATAAACAGGGTCATTACCTGAGCTCTTTCTCTGCTTAAATCTTCGCTTCCCAACTTGAATGTTAGACCTAGAAGTAATAATTTTTAAGAAGCCATTTTTATTAAAGGATACTTTCTCTCCTTCAATTTTCCATTCTCTTGAAGAGAGAAAAAGTTTCTTTTGTTGTCAGACAACATAAAAGATGCAGTTTTACTTAAGAAAGCCCATGATGAAATCTAACTGCATAAAAATAGTTAAGTGAGAAGCCCTAGCTGTTAGTAGGCTGTTTCAGTAGTCAAATGTAACGTGAAATATACCGCTTTATTTGTAAGGTGTATTCATGCCCACTGTACGCAGCGGCAAAGCAGGGGCTCGGAAGCCGGTGATGAGCTGGCCCACTTCTGGGGCCACACTTACGGCAGCGCTCGTGGCTTTGCAGATCGGTCAGGGCTGGATTCCTCTGCTCATCTCAGGCGTTGACATACTGGTTTTGAGTTGTAGACGGCGTTGGGTGGCGTCACTTCAATTTATGCTTTTCTCCATGGGATGGTTGCTGTGTGGGGAATGCCAGGGACTTAACACTGTCCTCTCCCTCTCAGAGGGGTACTTTCTTCTTTATGTGCATTGCTAATCCCAAAGGACCAGGGCTGTGGTTTTGATTGTTAATCTTTGTTTCTTAAAAATTAACACTAGTGGTTAGTCTTACCAGCCTGTTGTTTTAAAACTAGGCTTATGTTTTCTTTACCAGGAAAAGCACTGTCAGCAGAAATACAACGTTTCCTGTATAATGATTCTTCCCCAGTACCAACGCAAGGGCTATGGGAGGTTTCTCATCGATTTCAGTAAGGATTATAGTAACGTAACTGCTCATTGTATCTTCTTGTGGACTTTCCTTTGGTTGGACATGAAGTATTTTTAAATTGCTAACATTAGATATGAGTTTCTGTGTGATTTATAGCAAATTTAATTTGCTGCTATTAATTTACAGTGGAACTTAGTTTTATTTAATGCAGTAATTCTGTCTCACAACAATATTACAAAGCTTTGCAGAAATACTTAAATTAGCACTAATGAAGAAGTGCAGCACCTGCCCTATTTTTCTTACCCAGTTATCTGAGAAATGTGTACATCGCGTTTTAGTTACAGGCTCTACCTAGTGAAAAATATCGATGCACCTTTAAAAATGATAGAATAAATGATAAGGTAAATAATGTAATTTGAGTTAAAAATTGAAAGCTAACTGTTCTAATAAGGTCATTGTGGAGCTTGCATTTTGTTTTATACATTGATAATCTTGCTTTGAAAGTAAATGTGTATTTGAGGTAAATTTTCTGTTAATTCCTGGAGAAGGAAATGGCAACCCACCCCAGTATTCTTGCCTAGAAAATTCTGTGGACAGAGGAGTCTGGCTGGCTGCAGTCCATGTGATCGCAGAGTTGGACATGACTGGGCACACATGCCTTCTGTGATTATGAGACAGAGGCACTGGAGGGAGCATTTTCCCTCCGATATTCGCTCAAAATAGTGATGTTTAAAGGAATACTTTCAGAAGCCATGGCTAAAAGGATTCTGATAGGCAGTTCTTCTAAATATCAGATGATTACGTTTCTAGTGTTAATTCTCTCACATGGACCAGTGAACCTTATTCTACTTAGCCTTAGACTGTGTCCCTAACCATATTTAATTGGAAATATGTGCCAATATGTGACACAGTATAACCACCATATGTGGTTATTTTTTATATTTTCCTGTGTTTTTCTTCCAACTAGTAGTAGAGGATAAAACACACACCGTGTCCTTTAGTATCAATATATTGTTTTGAAATAGAACTCATGATTGGATGTGTTATGCCATTAAATAGTAGAGTTGGGTCTTTTTTTTTTTTTGGAGATATACAAACAATAGTCTATATGATTATAATGTTTGTTTTTATTTTAAAACTTTTCCTAATGTAATGTATTTTCCCACTTTACCATTCTTAGATGGATATTTTCTTTGATGACAAAATGCTACCTTTTCTGCCATCTCCATTTTTGATACTTTCCCTTAGAGTTTATTCCTTTCTTTTCCTGCTCCATGCATTAGACAATAAGACAGAGTAGTAGCACCACACACAGTAATGCTGGCATGCTGACATTCTTGCTTTTCAAGAATTAGAGTGATGAAATAGAGAAATTATTGTATAGGTCCCTCATAAAACCACAATCTTAGTAGGATTATGTAAAAACTTGAAGGCAGTCTTATAGCGTGCAAACAAATAGTTCTGTTGCCATCTAGTGGCCCAAATAAAACATGCAAGGATGGTTTCCCCCATCATACATTGAGGCAAAAAGCGTTCTTGCTTCAATCTTATCTCTGCAGCCAATTAATATGAAGTCCTGATTTTTAACAGTTTGAATATTCTAACAATGTGATTTATATTAACTATAAACAAAGTAATACTAACTCAATGTCCAGAGTATATACATTGTGTAATCTTCTTGCAAATTTTTTTTCAAGTAATTTTGTAATTTTGTTCTTGAAGGAATTAGCTTCTGAAATCATAGCCTGTAATACTTGGATTGATTATGGAAGAAGGGCTTGTTATTTTTGTAAACTGCCATCTTTTAGGCTCTGACATATTTGTGATTTGGGGGTTTCTTTAGGTTATTTGTTATCAAAGCGTGAAGGCCAAGCAGGGTCTCCAGAGAAACCGTTATCCGATCTAGGTCGCCTTTCCTACATGGCTTACTGGAAGAGTGTAATACTGGAGTGCCTTTATCACCAAAATGACAAGCAAATCAGCATTAAGAAGTTGAGTAAGTTGACTGGAATCTGCCCTCAAGACATTACTTCCACACTCCACCACCTGCGAATGCTGGACTTCCGGAGTGACCAGTGAGTATTACACCCCTTTGTATGACCTGTGAAAGGTGATTAGGTAGAGGTGCTGGGATCGGGCAGCCAAATTATCGGTTAAAGTGCATGAACTGACGGAAGTGGGGTACCTGGTGATCCTGAGACATCATTTTCCTTTGTATATTTTATACTGTTGACCATTTTTTAAAAAACTTTTTCTAGTCTTCTGTCTAACTTTTGGACCTAAGCTACTGAATTTGTTATTTATTGGAAACACCTTCACAGTACAAGTAACAGCTGCAGAAATAGTATCAACTAAAACACACAAATATGGTGTGGAAATTTGATTAATTTCCATACAGATGGCACAGAATGAGCTACAGGTCAGAGGAAAGACAGCTTACCTGTCTAGTGTGATGGAGAAAAGGTCACAGAGAAAGGAGGCATCTGGGCCAGAACGATGGAGAACAAAAGAATGCCAGAACGATGGAGAACAAAAGAATGCAAGAGAAAAGCAGAAGTTTCAGAGGTGGGAAGTGTGAGATAGGAAGTGACTGAAACAGCTGCTTCCATCGCTCCAGTTGAATGGGAAGTCTTTATCCAGCTTCACGTTTCTGAGCCATCTCGGTGGTGTCTTTCTAGGCAGTCTTTTTGTGAAGCATTTATCTGCTCTCATTTCCAGGGCTTTCTGGGAGTGTAGCTCCATATTCATTGTTTGGTACTCCTGCTGCGTTGTTGATTGCTATAAACTTTTCTCTGGTTTCAGATTTGTGATTATCCGCCGGGAAAAGCTTATCCAGGATCACATGGCAAAGCTTCAGCTGAATCTGCGGCCTGTAGATGTAGACCCGGAGTGTCTGCGCTGGACTCCCGTCATAGTCTCCAATTCTGTTGTCTCGGAGGAGGAGGAGGAGGAGGAGGAGGAGGCGGAGGAGGTGGAGGAGGAGGAGGAGGAGGCGGCAGCGGCGGCTGCGGCTGCGGAAGAGGAGGAGGAGGAGGAGGCGGAGGAGGAGGGCGAGCCCGCGGAGCGCCCGAGCCGGGACGGAGGACTGCAGCCGAGTGTAAGGGCGGGGCGGCCCGGCGCTGCTAATAGAAGCGCGCGTGGTTTCTGAAGCCAGTGCTGTAAACTCACATTAGAATCGCCAGCTTTATTTCAGTGATAGAAATTTCAGGAAGGCTGGGTTTTGTTTACTTATTTGTATATTTTCAAGCCTTATATCATTAGGAAACCTTCAAATTTGTTATATTGTGTTATGAGTATTTATCAGAGTGCCTATAAGCAGCTAAGTTTGAAGCTGTATAGAAATTGAATCTGAATTAAATTTAAATCTGACCATTGTTTAAAATGAAGATTCATTTTCCTTAAAACATTAAGGAAATAATGTAAACAGTGCATATTTTCTAATAGAGCACTAAACAGTTCAGTGTCTTTAGCCATTAAAAGGTTAATAGAAGGTACTACATCATTTTCAGCATTTTTCTTCATGTGATGCTTACGTTTCTCTGTTCTTTTTTTTTTTAAAGCAGTGCTTTCATCCTTTAAAACTCTGTGTTGTTTTGATAGACATAAATAGTTTCAATGCCCCCTGTTTAGTGTAATTTTCCAAATAAAATTAAGTATTCAGAATAAAGTAAGTCAAAATCATTCCAGAAATTTTCTTTCATTTTTTGAGCATCTTCTTTCTCTTGTCCACACCCCAGAGTTTGTCTTCTCTGTGTTTCTAAATTTCTGAGAAATTTCATGAACTGTCTCATTTAACATTTACTAGATTATAAGAAAAATAATAGTCACTGTTTACTATTTGCATAGTGGTTAAGAGTACTGGCTCTTGGATCAGACTACCTGGGTTTACACCCCAGCTTTTTCATTTGCTGTTGCATGGCCTGGGGCAGATAACTTACATGTTCTGTGTCTCAATTACCTCATTCGTAAAATGGGGATATAATAATAATATTTCACATAATTGGTGTGGATTTTACCCATATAGCTTTTAAAACAGTGCCTAACACACAGGAGGTATTTATGTTGAGTATTAAATAATGTTATCTTTGAGTGTTACCTGTTTTCTTACCTCAGCATTTAAAAGGCCAGAATAGGAGATGTAACCAAATATAAGACTGAAAATTAACCAGCATGGTTTTATTTTCTAAAATCAGGTGGGGAAGTCTGCATCTCGCGAGAACAAAGAACAGGATTCTTACACTTCAGTAGAAAGTGAAAAGAAACCAGAAGTTGCGACACCAGCCAGTACCACTCGTTTGAGCAAACAGGTCCTTCCCCGTGACAGTCTTCCTGCCAACAGTCAGCCGCCTCGGCGAGGCCGCTGGGGGAGGAAGAACAGAAAAGCCCAGGAACGCTTTGGTGATAAGGACCCGAAACTGCTCTTGGAGGAGACGTCAGCCCCCCAGGAGCAGTACGGAGACTGCGAGGAAAAGTCAGAACCTTCCCAAGAGCAGTACTTGGAGAGCGAGGAGCCGTCGGCAGCCTCCCAGGAGCAGCTGAGCCAAGACGGGAAGCCGGACGGGCCCAAGAGGAGACCCAACGAGGGGCTTGAGCTCTGGCGAGGCCCGCCGAAGAAGAGCCCTGAGCCCCTGAAGTGCGGGCTGCCTGACGCCCACGACCGGCTGCCCCGTCGCTACAGCGAGGGTCGCTACTGCGAAGGCCGCTACGCTGACGGGGACCGCCCCGCGCTGCGGGGTTGCAGCGAGAGCAGCGAGGAGGACGGGGAGCCCGAGAGCCCCCGGTCCAGCTCGCCCCCGGTGCTCACCAAGCCCACGCTGAAGCGGAAGGTGGGCCCCGCCCCGCCCCGCCCCGCAGCTCTGAGAGATCGGGGCGGGAGTCCAGTGTGTTAGCCTTTGCGCTGCATGCCCAGTGTCTCCAGCCAGTGAGCTTCCCAGTGAGCACGTGTGACGTGCACTTGGCTGCTCTGCTGCATGAGTGTTCACCTGGAAGTCACACTCACTTACGGGCTGATAGGCTGTTTTCAGCTTGCTGGTTTGATTTCAAATTATGACTTCTCAGGGATTTAGAAAATCCCCGGGGGACTTCCCTGGTGTTCAGTGGTTAGGAATTTTGCTTCCACTGTGGGGACCGTGGGTTCAAACCCTCTTCGGGGAGCTGAGATCCCGCAATCACAAGGCCAAAAGCCCAGATTAGAAATGTTTCTATTAAAAAGGAGAGGCACACACCCCGTGGTTGCATGGATTGTGGGCGTGAAAGTGCCCAGATGCTCGGAGTGCGGCCTGTCCCCTCGCCCTGACGGCGCTGTGTCCTGCCTGGGTCTCTCTCCTCTTCAGCCCTCTGTGGTTCCACTAAACTTTTGTTTTCAAAGTATTTTCTAAACTATATTTCATCATCTTGCAAAGTTTGAATGATAACCAGATTATTGCTGAATGCTATGAGGTGGTAGTCACGGATCTGTTAAACCGTATGCCAGAAATCTCCCAAACTGTGGCGTGAACTTTAAACATACCAGCCAGGCCGAAGTGTGTCAGCTCTCTGGATAAACCACCCTGGACTAGAGAGGTGGCAGCTTTCACCCAGAGCAATAAAATCATTCTTCTCCTTAGCAGAGCCTTGGGAAAAAAAAAGATAGGGCTATTTATTTAAAAAAAAAAAAAAAAGCTTTCCATTTTAGGAACAGTTTTAGGTTTACAGATTTATCGCAAAGTATGAAGAGTTCCTATGTTCCCCATACCCCGTCTCCCCTATTACTGACCTTTTCCCTTGATGCTGCACATTGGTCCCAAATGGTGAACCAGCATGAATACATCATTAACTGGAGCCCATACTTTGTTCAGATTTCCCCCCAGCTCCGCAGGATACCGCCCAGCATACCACACACACTGCCTTTAGTTGTCACGTCTTTTTAGGCTCTCTGGTTGTTGGTGCCAGTTTCTCGGACTCCTTGTTTTTGATGAGCTTGTCAGTTTTGAGGAGTACTTGCTAGATATTCTGTAGAATGCTCCTCATGGTATGAAAACCGGGTGAAGTGTTTTGGGAAGAAGGCCACAAGAGGTAAAGTGCCGTTCTCATCACTTCATAGAAGGGTGTCTGCTGTCAGGCACACCAGGACCAAGTACAAGGGCATCTGCTGTCAGTGTGACTGCTCCCTGTTGACGTTCACGTCAGCCCCAGTCACCTGACCTCCACGCGTCACGCTTGTCAGCTTCACTCTGGAGTTACTGCCTTTTTCAGACCCCTTTCTGTACTGTGCTCTTTGGAGGGAAGTTACTGCCTGCAGCCCATACCTAAGATGCAGGAAGCTATACTCTGCTCCCTAAGAGCAGAATATCTGTGTTAATTACTTGGAATTCTGTTTGGGAGAGTTACCTATTTTCTCCTGTTTCTTGTCATATCCATGTGGCCTCATAGATACTTACTTTCATGCCCCAGTCCTCGGATCAGCCATTTCTCCTCAGAGCAGGGCCATGTTTAACCTCATTTGAAAAGCTGTGTTCTCAGCTAGAAAGACTAGTAAGTTTAAAGTGGAGAAATTGATTAGCCTGCTGTTCATTACGTGACTGTGAAGAATATATCTTTGCCATCCTAGGCTTATGTTGCCTTTTTATGAAATAAAATTATGCTGTTTCCCTGTGTAAAAAGAGAATATTATAACAGGCAGTGAGTACATGTACAGGATACTTGTAAAGTTTTGAAGAAATTCACTTGACTAGGAATTGCAAATGATTTTACAGCCATTTCTTTACTGACTGGATGTGACCTTAAAGCAAGTCCTATAACCTTTCTGGCCTCTGTAGAATGAGGGGATTGAATTAGATCAGCTTTGGTAGTATATGATATCATTTTGTGATATCTATTATGTGATTTAAGACGTTACCTCAACCCTAGTCCAGAAGTATTTCTAATGTGCCACATCCCAACACCAGATGTGTTTTATTTCTGTAATGCGTGCTAACACCAAGGAGATCTATACCGACTCCATATCCCCACGCTCCACTGTAGCTCTGTGGATAGCTCATGACAATGGTATACGGCCTTCCTGGTGCTTCTGCTGACACGCACAGTGGAGCTATGAGATGTACGGTGTGGTGTTTCTTTTTTTTCTCTTTTGAAGAAAAGAGAAGATACTAGCCTCTATGTCATTTCAGTATTGAAATAGGCTGCTTCCTAGGGTACTAAATGTAACTGGACTGTTTGGGGAATGACTCTTTAGGCATCTCCTCTTTACTCTGTTCTTTTATAAAGTTGTATTCAGTAATCCTTTTTGTATCTATGACACTTTATATATAGTATCTTAACTATGGTATTTTGAACTAATGTTCAAAATGTGTTTTGGCAAACAGCATACTCATTTGATACGTACTAATTCTGTCAGGTTTAAAAACTATTAATCATGTTATTAATGGAAATGATGGTGTTCATTACCGTAAATAAAATGCTTCTCCCTCTCTTAAATAGAAACCAATTCTTCACCGAAGGAGGAGAGTCCGAAAGCGCAAACACCACAATAGCAGTGTGGTCACAGAGACCATTTCTGAGACCACGGAGGTCTTAGATGAGCCTTTTGAAGACTCTGACTCCGAGAGGCCGATGCCGCGATTAGAGCCAACATTCGAGATTGATGAGGAGGAGGAAGAGGAGGAGGAGAGCGAACTCTTCTCTCGAGGGTACTTCCATCGCTTGGCCTCCCAGGACGTTCTCAGGTGTCAGTCCGATTCGAAGAGGAAGTCTAAAGATGAAGACGATGATGAAGAGTCAGATGATGCTGATGGTATGTTTCACAGAGCGGTTGCTTGTTGTAGTTTCCTGGTTTTGAAAGATACAGCGGTGGTAGCTGCAAAAGCTCCAGCAGAGAGGGTGAAGGGCAGATGACCCGCCGAGCAAGTGCAGGACGACTTGCAGCCTCTGAAGAGCTGTATCGAGTGGGCTTATACTCACCTTCTGCCTTAGTTCTCTGTCCTTTTGTCAGAGTGTTTTTTCCCAGTTCCCCCATAGCACCTGTTTTTGCCTCTGCAGAAAGTAATCTTGCTGTTTGGAAATTGTTCTTTTTGCCTAGTCCTTTCTCGGCCATTATGTGTGTCTTTAGTTAATGGGTAGATGAGACTTAGTGTGAAGAAGATAATTAATAACCCTCTACTGGAGTGCGCAGTCTACAGACCTGGCCTATTCTGCTAATTGTGTATGCTGAGTGCTTAAAATAGGCACTCAGTAAATACAGTTAAATGACTTAAGTGCTTAGAAGTGGCTCTCAAATAAGGTTAGATTCCTGTAAATTGGACTTGCTTCAAACCTGTTCCTGAATCATATCTGTAATATGTCTTACTCAACGAGTAGTAGTAAATTTCTAAATAAAAGGGTAACAATACCTCAAAATAAGTTAAATGTTATGGCATAGCTAAAAATCCAGTGATTAGACTGGTTGTTGTTTCCTCTTTAAAGATGAAAAGAAGGGGCTCATATATGACTTGGGTCCCAAACTAGTTCACATCATTGCCCAAATTTCCTGCCTTGTGCTGTGTGGCCTTCTTGCTGGGGTCACACTGAGCTGCTTTGCTTTGCTGGGTGGATTCGAAGGAATTGAGTTCACACTTGGTGCATAAACCTATAGCTTTTATGTACTGACTTGTTGGGCTTTTAAAAATAAATTCACTCAATTTCAAATCTGGTAGACAACTTGCATTTTCTTCAGTCTCACATCTTTGTATAATCAATACTTTTAATGTAGTGATGACTGAGTTTTTTGCTTTATGGTGCATGATTTTCCAGAATTTTATTGTGTTATATTTTGAGATATATAACTAGGAAACTAAAAATTTATTTTGTAAAGAATGTGGCACTTTTGCAGAATTCTGCCTTATATCATCATAGATTAAAATAGTATCCTCTAAGTTCCTACTGAATAGAATTTTCTCTAATGTAGCCATTTCCTTTGTTTACTTTCAGGTTATTACTGGTAACTATACCTTTTTAGTCCCACCAGTTCCATCCCCCACCCCCTAAAAAAATACCTGTTCCTACCTTGCTGGTCTTCTTTTTAAAAATTAATGGGAAATGTGGATGTACTTAATGTCGCACCAAACTATACACCTAAAAGTGTTAAAATGGTAAAATTTTATGCTATGAATATTTTATAGTTTTTAGAAAAAGTGATGATGAGAAAGTGATGCTAATATCAAATTTATTTCTAGTAAACCCTTTGCTTCAGGTCAGTATTTGTCCAGGACTACATGCCTTGCAACTCTTTTTACACAAGCACAACACTGGCCGGGAAGTGTTCCTGTAGGATTCTTCAGACATGGCCTGGAGTAGTTGGCTCATGATATTACCTGAAGTAATGATTTTGTAGAAACTTAAGAAAACCAAAGCATAATATACATGGGGGTGGGGGGTGGGGTGGGATAAGTGAGATGATATGTAACTTACATGGTAAAGACAGCTTGTCGCAAGTAGCTGTGAAAACTACTAGCATTTGTGTCCTTTAAATCTTATCTCCATTTTTTAAATGATGATACTGAGTCTTAGGGTAACTTCCCAAAGATGTGCAGTTGGCTTTGATGATGCACTTGAACCTAGTGAGTGGACCAGAATTCTTTTCCTTGTTCTGCCAGTTCACTGTGTGACTTCAGAGAGTATCATGAAATAGGTTTTTTCTTTAGATTCTTAACTTAAAAATGAAGATAGTCAGGAGTTTGGGGTGATAATAAAATCATTTCTGTTGTACCTGTGGGCTCAGAAAAAGGCACTAGAAAATACAAGATCCTATAATTTATTTTATTTTTTATCCTTCCTGTGCAGACACTCCAGTCCTAAAGCCAGTGTCTCTCTTGAGAAAATGTGATATGAAGGACGCTCCACTTGAGCCAGATACATCCACGCCTATGAAGAAGAAGAAGGGATGGCCCAAGGGCAAGAGCCGCAAACCGGTTCACTGGAAGAAGAGACCTGGGCGCAAGCCAGGCTTTAAGCTGAGTCGGGAGATGGTGCCGGTGTCTGCTCAAGAGTCAATCGTTGAGCCCATCGTCCCCCTTCCTAAAGCGGGACGTAAATCCAAAATGGAAGAGAGCGAAGAAACTGTTGAACCAAAAGAAGACTTGCAGTTAACAGAGGAAAGGAAGGAAGACGAGGAGCTGCCCCTGGAAGCGGAGGAGGCCGAGGAAGGGGAGGAGGAGGACACCACCAGCAGTGATGTTAGGGCGGCCTCTCCCCCCGACGCCAGCAGCCCTGAGGCCGAAGCCAAGGAGCCCGAGGCCAGCGAGGAGGAGGAGAAGCCCCGCGTCCCGGCAGAGCAGCGGCCGACGGAGGAGGCGCCACAGGAGCTGGCCAGGCGGGAGCCTGAGGAGGAGGAGGACACGGCCGCGGAGACCAACCAGAGCGAAGACCACGATGCGGATGACGAGGACGACGGCCACCTGGAGCCCGCCAAGAAGGAGGAGGAGCTGGGGCAGCCGCCGGCGCGGGAGGGCGTCAAGGAGGAGCCTGGCGGCCGGGAGGCTTTTTTAGATCCTAACGTGCAGGGCAGCGGGGAGAACCCAAAAGACAAGGAGGAACCGGAGCCGGATTCCGAGGAGGAGCAGACGTCCCACGACGCGTCTGTGGTGTCAGAGCACATGCCGGGCTCTGAGGACGACCACGAGGAGGACTCGCGCTCGAAGGAAGAGCTGCTGGAGCTGAAGGAGGAGGAGGAGATCCCGCATAGCGAGCTGGACCTGGAGACGGTGCAGGCCGTGCAGTCCCTGACACAGGAGGAGCGCGGCGAGCACGAGGGCGCCTACCAGGACTGCGAGGAGACGCTGGCCGCCTGCCAGACGCTGCAGAGCTACACGCAGGCCGACGAGGACCCGCCGCTGGCCCTGGTGGAGGACTGCCATGCCTCGGAGCACAACAGCCCGCTGTCCTCCGTCCAGTCCCACCCCAGCCAGTCTGTGCGCTCGGTCAGCAGCCCCAGCGTGCCCGCCCTCGAAGGGGGCTACACCCAGATCAGCCCGGAGCAAGGATCCCTGTCCGCCCCGTCTATGCAGAACATGGAGACCAGCCCCATGATGGACGTGCCTTCCGTATCTGACCACTCCCAGCAGGTGGTGGACAGCGGCTTCAGTGACCTGGGCAGCATCGAGAGCACCACGGAGAACTACGAGAACCCCAGCAGCTATGACTCCACCATGGGCGGCAGCATCTGTGGGAACAACTCTTCCCAGAGCAGCTGCTCCTACGGCCTGTCGTCCTCCAGCAGCCTCACCCAGAACAGCTGCGTGGTCACCCAGCAGATGGCCGGCATGGGCGGCGGCTGCAGCTTGATGCCGCAAAGCAGCGTCCCGCCCGCCGCCAACTGCGGCATCAAGTCCCCGCAGAGCTGCGCCGTCGAGAGGCCTCCCAGCACGCAGCAGCCACCACCGGCCCAGCCGTCGCAACAGCCTCCACCGCCACAGCCTCAGCTCCTACGGCCTGTCGTCCTCCAGCAGCCTCACCCAGCGGGGAACATCAGCATCTACGAGCGGATCCCCGGGGACTTTGGGGCCGGCAGCTACTCCCAGCCGTCGGCCACCTTCAGTCTGGCCAAGTTGCAGCAGCTGACCAACACCATTATGGACCCCCATGCCATATCTTATAGCCATTCTCCTGCTGTGACTTCCTATGCAACCAATGTTTCTCTGTCCAACACGGGGCTGGCTCAGCTGGCCCCATCGCATCCCTTAGCGGGGACCGCTCAAGCACAAGCCACCATGACGCCGCCCCCGAACCTGGCCTCCACCACCATGAACCTCACGTCCCCGCTGCTGCAGTGCAACATGTCTGCCACCAACATTGGCATTCCCCACACGCAGAGGCTGCAAGGGCAGATGCCCGTCAAGGGGCACATCTCCATCCGCTCCAAGTCGGCGCCCCTGCCCTCCGCGGCGGCTCACCAGCAGCAGCTGTACGGCCGCAGCCCGCCCGCGGTCGCCATGCAGGCCGGCCCGCGCGCCTTGGCTGTGCAGCGAGGCATGAACGTGGGGGTGAACTTGATGCCCACCCCTGCCTATAATGTCAATTCCATGAATATGAACACCCTGAACGCCATGAACAGCTACCGAATGACCCAGCCCATGATGAACAGCAGCTACCACAGTAACCCAGCCTACATGAACCAGACAGCACAGTATCCTATGCAGATGCAGATGGGGGTGATGGGGGGCCAGGCCTACCCCCAGCAGCCTATGCAGCCGAGCCCGCATGGAAACGTGATGTACACGGGCCCCTCCCATCACAGCTACATGAATGCGGCGGGCGTGCCCAAGCAGTCGCTCAACGGACCTTACATGAGAAGATGAGCAAGACGGACTTGCAGTTCAGAACCTAAATATATATAAATAAAGGAACCTTTTATACTGACAAACCAGAGAAAAATGGACCTTTTTTCCAGTTAAAATATTGCTGTAGATTTAGAGGAATTTTTCTTTGGTTTATTTTATTTTTTAGAAAACCTGGTCTTTTTTGGGGGGTTCATTTTGTTCTGGGTTTTGGTTTTCTTCACAATCTTGAACATTTTACAATAGAACTCATCTAAAAACGGATTTGGGGATAGGGGAAACATGCACAGAAATCTTTTCATAATTAAAAAGAGCCTTACTTTCTTTACACGCCACATGGACAGAATTTGTGTAAAAGTGAATTATCTTTATTTTATTTTAAATTGTATGTTTCCCCTCAAGTGTTTGCAGCTCCCAGTGTCGTCATTTTTAAATGTTACATATACATCTCGAGGGTTAGCCAGACCCTTTTCCTCCACACCCAGCCTTTCATTCCCTACTTCATTCCAGCAGGAGGCACTTATGGGAGACTCGGATGGGGACATGGAGAACAACCCAAGCTCCTTAAACTTATTATTATTGTTAATATTATTATTATTATTATTAATAAAGCGAGGCAGGAAAATGCTTCTCCTCCTAAAATCCCCTCCACTCCTACACATACACACACGTGCACACACACACCTCTCGAAACCTTTCCCCAAGAATGTTTCTTTATAGATGGACTTCATCGAAATGTTTGTTTTTCTTAGATCAAGTGTAATATAATTTTTTAAAAACTACTCCCACTCAGCACTCAGAGACACAAAATACTGTAAGTCTCAATTAACAGCAGAATCTCAGAGGAAAGCTGTTTGCAATCCTGATCCAGCCTTGGAGGAATAGATGGTCAGTTAACAATCAAAAGAGGAACGTAACCTCTTGTTTTTTTTTAACCACCTGGTAATCAGCCATACGCACATAATTCCACGCAGCCTCTTGATTTTAGTACATACCTTGAGACTCTTAAGGGTCTCGATTCTCGAGCCTTCCTGACTCTGATGAAAGTGAGCAGCAGACCCCGGTGATTAGGCGATGAGCCTCTGACATCCTCATCCGAAGGGTTGGCGGGTGATTACACTGTCAGTGACTTGAGAAATACTAACCTTTGACACTGTTTACTTCGTGTTGGGAGAGATGACGCAGATAGCGTGTTGTGAGGGAGACCATGGTGTGAGTCTTATAGCTACTTCAGTGATAACATACCTCTAGTTTTTCTTCGTCTTTGAAATCCTGAGTCCCCTCCCCTGTGAATCGGGATGCGTGGCCCCTCCCCCGGGAGAGGCTGAGAAGAAGAGAGATCGACCAACCACCAGCATAGTCGGGCAGATCTAGACAGCAGGGTTTTAGCAGGCTCCTATGTTACTCCCAACTTCATTCTCTTTTCTCTTGTGCAGCCAGTTTGCCCATTCTCTTCTTGTCACTTGCTCCAGGGATAGGTAAAAAAAAAAAAAATACATATATATATATATAAAAGTATATATATGTGTATATATATATACATATATATGTTCCATCATTAGAAGATGGACACTATTATACCACTTGGTATGTGCAGTCAAATATCCAAAAGGGGGAAGAACTGCTTAAAGAAATACCTGTAAGCATTAAATTCTCTCCTTTATTTGTACATTTTATATAGATAAATTTTTGAAGTAACAAATTAGGCATTAAATTTTTTCAAATGCACAGGTTTGTTGGGTTTTTTTTAATATATATACATATGTACACTTTAATTGACTTTCTCAATTAAACGTGTTAGGTAGGTCAAGGCAGAATTCCACCTCTTGGCCGCTGTCTGAGCATTCTGAGCATGTGCAAGGCTGAGTAGGACCCAGTCTCTGTATATACCGGTCCGGTGCCCAGTCCTCTCTGTAGAACGCACCCTTGTGCTGCCCTCTGCCGAGTCTTCAGCGCTTTCATTGCTTCCTGGTTGGGGCGGGGACGGGGTGGGCGGGGAGGGAGGTGTCTTGGGAGGAGGGTGGGTCAGGGCAGAAGGAGAAGCTGTTGAACGAGGGCCGTGAATTCAGTTTCTGTTGGTTTGCGGTTGTGTTTGGTTTTGTTTCTTTTAAAAAAACAAAAACAAAAAAAACCAATTTTCAATCGGGCAGCTCCCTTTTTCCACAAGCCTTTTTGTGACTTTAGAACTATTGTAGAGAAAATGTTCTTTTCTATATTATAAAAGAAATTATCCAACACAGTAATATTGGTACCTGTCATTTTTTCACTTCTGTTTAAAAAAAAAAATGTATTTTTAGCAAGATAACTTGGGTAATCTTCTAAAAAAAGAAATTTAAAAAACTCACTGTTAGTGACTTTGATGCCTTTTAAAATAAGAGCTTTTTCATTTCATTCCATCTTTAAAATTTTTTATCTTTGTTGTAGAATATTAAAAACTATTTTAAGAAAGATAAAAATTCTCTTTAAAGAGATCTCTAGAGTGTGTGAATAGAGCTCCAGATGCCTCTAAAAGCCGCATGTACAAATGAAGCTAAGTCTATTCCTGTCTGTTTATATTTGCTTTTCCTGTTTTGTAACCTCTTTGTACTTTGTTCATGGTGACTTGTAAGCTACGGGGAAGGGGTGCCTAGATGCCTTCGTACTTCTCCATGTCACGCGCTCCTGGGCCAGCCGGCCTCCTTCCTCTCCTGTATGTAATATCACTTTTTTTTCCCCCTTTCTAGCAAGTACTTTCAAAAGAACTCTGTACATTTTAACATTAAAAAAAAAATAAATTATGTTGAGCCATTTTGGATGTCTGTCTTGCATGTGGAATTTTTCTCCCAAGTGCTTCCAATTCTCCAATTCTTTTTCTACACACACACTCAGGAATATTAGCTTTTTCACACGCCTCTTCAGCTAGCAAGTATAAGTGTATGACCTTTGCTTTGAAATTTCAGTTTTGATTCAAATAACGTGTTTCAGTTCCAAGAATATAGATAGTTTTCCCTTTTCCAAAAAAAATGGAATTTTAACCTCACTTTGGTGGGTTTTTTTTTTTTTGGGGGGGGCACCTATTTGAAAAACTTTTAAAGGGATTGTAATTCATCCAACCGAAAAAAAGAAAAAAAGACATACAATCTCAGAAACAAGTAGCTCCCAGACTTTGAACAAAGCAGTGTTTTTTCTCTTCTTAGTTGACCTGATTGTGTAATCTAGGAAGGTTTGCCAGAAATCCGGGTCGTAAACATCAGTCATTTTTTTAAAATATTTTCTGAGTTACTGTTCTCGCTTCTCATCTAAGAATTTTGGGTATAAGGCAGATTCCAGAATCAGATTTGGCTTTGGGAGACTGACAGCTGTTTGGAGTAGGGAGGTGAGACAGATTCAGGTTTCCTGCCCTCCTAACTTGATCTGATGCCCTTTGCCGCTGAGTTAGGAGTTTAGGAAGTGAACGTTAATCATGTTCATAGCAAACATTTGTTCTACACTTTGTGCCATGGGAGTTTTAGGCTGTGTCATCTCCAGAAAAATAAATGTGTTTTTCTTTCTCCCCCTGATTTGCTTGCTTCAGTAGTCACCACTTGGAGCCGAGGTTGTCACTGCACTATGCAGTTAGTAGTGAATTGTCTCAAAAACATATACTGTCTTTGCTACTGCAAACTCCCTGCTTTAAGTGACTGCAGCATGCAACAATTCTGATATTTTTACCAAGAAGATAGTGACCAAATAGGCTTCTTTTGAGTGTGAGCGACCCCCACTGCCTATTACGTGTAAAACGGGAGTAATTCCCAGTGTAGCCAGCTCCCAAGTGATCAGGTGAGGAGGGCCTCTCTCTCTCCTTGGCCATCTGGCCTTTTCACTCTCAGCAGGCAGGTGAGGGAGAAGAGAGACCACACCCTCGACTACTGTGTGTGGCTGAGCGCCTTGGTCCGTTCCTAGAGAAGCTGCTGCTGCGCCTTCCCTTCCTCGGGTTCCAGGAACCCTCGTCCCACGCAGTCTCCCTGAGCATCCGAGGGGGACCGGCCCCTATGTCGTGTGGGGACAGCCGTGTATCCTGACGGAGCGTCGGAGGGACAGCTCCAGCTCCTCCGGTGAGAATTGACTGTTTCAGGGTCTCCCTGGGACACCCTGCAGGGCGTGGTGTCTTGTGTCGTCCTCTTGGTTTTTCATAAAGATGACAATGGGAAAGCATGGTGAAAAGCGAAAAAACTGATTGTTGTTGGCCTTGTCGTTGGCCCCGCAGGGGAAACACAGGCGGTGGCGGTGGGGAGGAGCTCCATACTCTTCATGTAACTTACATCTAAAAATTCAAGCGACACATTCTGTATGTGAGCTCAAGACCCTGCACAGTGACGTTTATATTGTCAAATGTCTAATTATTGAGCGTGGGCATCCAATTAAAAGCCAAAACCCCCCAAACAAAACCCGGCTCATCTGTTAATAAATTTCTGTTAAGGGGCAGGTTGGGTTTGTTTTGAGTTGGTGTGATTACCTAACTCAGCCCAGATCCATGGATTTGCTTTGCAGACTGACAGCTACAAATTGGGCTAAACTGCTCCTTGCTACATCAATGAGGAGCCTAAAGACTGGTATGCATATTACATAGAGACCTCAGAAAGGCGGCAGGTGTAACTTCTGCCTGAAATAAGGGAAGCCATGGAGTATGGTGGGCTTTGGCTTTCTGAACTCTTAAAACAGGAGAAAGACAGGGAATTGTTATCCTGCAGCTGTTGTGAATAAACTTTTTGAGAATGAAAGATACATTCTTGTTAGCAAGAAGAAAATGTTCTAACATTTAACTCTATATTAACAGACATTTCTGAAAGCCTCATTTAAGTGACATAAAAAAAAAGTTAAACGTTCTCTAGGGTGACATGTTCATTTTTAACCACTTTTAGTCTATACACGCACAGAGAGCAAGCAAAGGCAAGCAGGTGAACTGAGATAAGCGCATTGGCTGTGCCTACACCAGAGAACTACAGCTGGGACGCCCCGGGGTTTCTATGAATATGTGTCATAAAACTTACATCCGGTTAATGCCTCGAGACCAGCCATTCAGATCACCTTTCAAGTTATTTACATTGGCCTTAAAGAGATTTTGGAGCCTCAGAATCTTCTATTTTTGAAAATGTCATTTAAAGCCCTTCAGCTGTTATCCTAAGTTCAAAGTCTCTTGTGAACAAAGTAAAAAAAAATATTGGTACACAAAACCTCTTTGCTAGGACCGAGGCTCTGCCACATGTACAGGCAAGCTCTAATTGTTTCATTGATGTATTCCATTTAATAACATTGGTTGATTTCATTTTCTTTTTCAAAGAAAGTAGAAAAAGCAGCTGTAGTCAATTATGTCAAAAGGACTGAATTTGATAGTTTTCCAGAGAAAGTGAGAGCAGTTGTGTGTTGACTAGGAGACAGTGACAAAGGCTTTGCTAGAGGCAAGGACCTCTTGCAAAAATGGAATAATTACACAATTAAAAAAAAAAAAGATTGTCCAGTTCCTGTTTAAGGGGAAAAAAAAATAGAATTGACTAGAATCCCTAACTTGGCATCCCTGAGAGTTTTTTTTTCTTAATATATGTATAGTATTGATGTATTGTTCACTTACAATGTTTCAGGGGCATAGCAAGGTGATCCAGTTGTACATATACACATACATTATTTTTTAAATTATTGTCCATTATAGTTTTTTTTTTTTTTTACAAGATATTGACTACAGTAAACCTTTGTTGCTTGCTGCATAATCTATTTTGTCCTTAGTGGAAGGAAAGTCTTGAATCTGAAACTGGATAGTATGAAACATTGGAAGAACAACTGTGGAAGGCTGAGAAAGAAATTCTATTAGAATCACCAAGGAAAACAAAGCCAAACCGATCGCAGCCAGCCGCTACAGCCTATCCTGGTTATTTCTCTGGGGCTCCAAAGTATTTTATTCTCTTTTGTGTGATTGTGAATGGGCTCATTTCCTTGGTTTATCTTTCTGATAGTTAGTGTACAGAAATGGAACAGATTTCTATACATTTTGTTTCCTGCAGCCTTACTGAATTCATTGATGAACTCTCGTGTTAGTAGTTTTCTGGTGGCATCTTTAGGGTTTTCATGTCATTTGTAAACAGTGACAGTTTTACTTCTTTTCCAATTCGGATTCCTTGTATTTCTTTTTCTTGTCTGCTTGCTGCAGCTAGGACTTCCAACACTATGTTGAATAAAAGTGATGAGTGGGCACCCTTGTCTTTTTCCTGATTCCCTGAGAGGGAATGCTTTCAGCTTTTCGCTGTTGAGAATGATGTTAACTGTGGGTTTGTTTTATATATATATATAACCTTAATGTTGAAATATGTTCCCTCTATGCCCACTTTTTGGAGAGTTTTAATCATAAATGGATAATAAATGTTACCAGAGACTTTTACTGCAGTTTCTGAGATGATTGTATAGCTTTTATTCTTTAATTTGTCAATGTGGCGTATCACATTGATATGATATGGAAAAATCCTTGCATCCCTGGGTTAAATCTTGATCATGGTGAATGATCCTTTTAATGTATTGTGGGTTTGGTTTGCTAGTACTTTGCTGAGGATTTTTGCATCTATGTTCATCATTGATATTGGCCTATAATTTTCTTTTCCTGTCATATCTTTGTCTGGTTTTGGTATCAGGATAATGCTGGCCTCATAGAATGAGTTTGGAAGTATTCCTTTCTCTGTAATTTTTTGGAGTAATTTGAGAAGGATAGGCTTTAACTCTTCGCCAAATGTTTGATAGAATTCACCTGTGAAGCCATCTGGTCCAATCTTTGTTGGGAGTTCTAAAACTACTGACTAAATTTCATTACTGGTAATTGGTCTGTTCATATTTTCTGCTTCTTCCTGGTTCAATCTTGGGAAATTGTACTTTTCTAAGAAGTTGTCCAGGAGAAGGCAATGGCAACCCACTCCAGTACTCTTGCCTGGAAAATCACATGGACGGAGGAGCCTGGTAGTCCGTGGGGTCGCTGAGTCGGACACGACTGAGCGACTTCACTTTCACTTTTGACTTTCATGCATTGGAGAAGGAAATGGCAACGCACTCCAGTGTTCTTGCCTGGAGAATCCCAGGGATGGGGGAGCCTGCTGGGCTGCTGTCTATGGGGTTTCACAGAGTCAGACACGACTGAAGTGACTTAGCAGCAGCAGCAGCAGAGCAAAATAATGTGAGATATTTGCTCTTTGCAGTATTACAAATACAGTCCTGGAAGACAGGCAAGACTACTACAGCAATGTGGAAGATACCATGGTAGAGGAATACTGAAGTAGGAGTCAGAAAACTTAGAAATCTAGATTTAGCCCAACCACTGGCAGCTTTATAACAGTTGGTACTTGATCTTATCTAAGCCTCAATTGCACAACTGCAACATGAAAGTAAAAAGTTTCAGTTATTCCAAAACCCTGAAGTGGTATTATAAAAAGGTAAAAATAATTTAATATTATTATTGTCAGAGCAATTTCATTTGTGTCACATTTTAATTACTTAAAAATAACAATTTTGAAAGAGAAAAATATCAAATCAATTTGACAATGTNGTTTGAGTAAACTCCAGGAGTTGGTGATGGACAGGGAGGCCTGGTGTGCTGCGATTCATGGGGTCGCAAAGAGTGGGACATGACTGAGCGACTGAACTGAACTGAACTTTCCTTCTACTAACTTCTACTAATTTTAAGTTTTGTTTGTTCTTTCTCTAGTTGCTTTAGGTGTAGGATTAAGTTGTTTATTTGAGACTTTTCTTGTTTCCTGAGGTAGGATCGTATCGCTATAA